GATTAAAATGAGGAAAATGAAGAAGAAAATGAGGGCACTCAACCACATACAGAAAAATGAGAGAGACGCATGATCAAGGAGAAGGGGAGCTAGGTGTGTGCAGCTGCTGACCTGAAGTGGCAGTGGTCATGGAATTCAGTCATCAAATACTGTGCACCATGCCAGCCCCTCACCTGCCTTCTCTCCCTCTGTCAGAGAACCAGGTCAGTCAGCGCAGTGTGCACCCCTTATACCGTTGGCCCTTGATGTGTCCTCTCCTAACTCTCCCACCTCACAGATCAGCAGGTTGGGCAAAGTCCTAGAGGGACTTTGTGCCTCAGCCAACTTAATCTACATGGGGTTATTCTCTACAATCTGGATGGGCTACATCTAATCGGTGAAGAAGTCTAAAAGGCCCAACTGAGGCCTCCCCAGGACTCACCAGCTCATAGTCACACAAGCCAGCTCCTTGTACTGAATCTCTGTATGTGTGTATACATACAGTGAGTGAGTATACAGTGAGTGTGTATACAGTGAGTGTGCATACAGTGAGTGTGTATACATCTGTGGGTTCTCCATCCAAGGATTTAAGGAACTACAGATTGAAAATATTTTAAAAAATTGAGCATGTATAGAGTTCCATTCTTTGTTCTCTAAACGAGATGTCATGACAAATTTTAAATTACATTTATTTGTTTATTGAGTTTGTGTGTGTGTGTGTGTGTGTGTGTGTGTGTGTGTGTGTGATGTATTCATGTATACATATGCAGGTTAGATGATATCTTGCAGGAATTAGTTCTCTCCTTCTTCCCGGTGAGAAGCAAGGATTGAACTTAGGTTATCAGGTTTGACCACAAGCACCTTTACCAACTGAGCCATCTTGTCAGACCAAATCATGGCATAATGTTTATGCTGTGTTAGATATTGCAAGTCACCAAGTGTGAGGTAAAGTCTATGGGAAGATGTATATGGGCTGTAAGACAATTCCATGCCATTTTATTTGAGGGACTTGTGTTATCTGTGAACTTGGGTAAGGGGAGATGGGATACTCTGTAGTAAGTTTTCCATAGACACAGAGAGGAGAGGGAGGGAAGAAGAGAGAGAGAGAGAGAGAGAGAGAGAGAGAGAGAGAGAGAGAGAGAGAGAGAGAGAAAGAGAGATATGTGTGTCCACTTAGAGAATTCTGTCTGGTCCACCCCCAAAACTTTAGTTATGCTTAAAATATGTGTCAGAGTAACAGAACACTTCATTCCCTGCCTTGTGTTTTCTTGCTTCTCTGGTGACTGTCTTGCCCCTCCCCGTCCCTGATGCATCAGTGTAAATTGTGGTCAGTCCCAGATCTTAAGAAAAGGCCAAAGCAGAAGTTTTCCAGTGAAAGGGGATTCCTTACCACTGTGTCTGGGCCCTCCTCACCTTGAGGTTTCAGAATGTGGTACAAAAGCCAGGCTTTGAACAAACAGTGATGGTAGTGTTCGCCGCTCTGTGGGAGTTTTTAGGACTCTTCTAACCCCCTGGGACTGCCCTTTGTACGTGTGTCTTGAGAATTTTGCCGCAAGATGGAGGAAGTGCCGATAGTGCCGATAGCTATTCTGATAAGTATTAAACTGGGCTGGCATCGGGTTCCATGTTCCAGCCAATGTGCTGGGCTCCATCTAGGTTCCAGGAGTCCTTTGTCAGCACTTATTTCTACCTCTTCTGCCACCGAGGATATTTGCTATACATACCTCCATGCATGTTATCATACAGCTGAGGTGGAATGAGCTCAGTAGCAGAATTAAGGACCAGTGTGCCCTGAGTGTGAAGCCTGTAGCTCAGCGTGCAGTGCGGCTTCCATGAGAAGCACGCACGACTGCCTCGGCCATGTAAAATTTCAGTCAGGAAGGATCAGAAGTGAGTGGAAATACCCACGGCCATTCTTCCTCTAGATTAACTTCTAGGTAAAAACACAAGCGTGAGGAATCCCCTTGAAAATTCCACCCAGGATGGAAAGAAATGCAGAAGTGAAGACAATAAAACATTCTCCCTTTTATGTCTGTCCTATGGGGGAAAGAATGAGGAAAATAGATTTCTTTCCTCCAGACAACACCAGAAAGAAAGGCAAGCTGCTAGGTATTGGTAGGGCACTTGTCAGGCACATGTGAGACCCAGGTTCCTTCCATTTCCAGCAAAAAGAAAAAAAAAATAGCTAATTTGAGTAGCTCATTGTTTAAGTGTTTTGAAATTCTTTAAAGTCAGCTCTGAAAATACTAAATCCAATTGTAGATGAGCTGGATAGCATTGGAGGCATACAGTGGTTTCAGTGGGTCATAGTTTGGAGGTGAAAGTTAAAACTTGAGGCATTTTGAAATGCTGAGTTGCAACTCTAGGTTGAAGGAAGGTCTTCAGGCCACCCACTGCCTCTCGCTACTTTTCAGGGTCCAAAGAGTGCAGAAACCACCCCCTTACCTCCCACTCCTCCACCCCGATTCAGGCATCTAGGAGAACAAGAGCTTGCCAGGTAGGCAGAAGCAGCTGGGAAGGACAATTCACATCGGATGATCTTCTAGATGGTTCTGGACATCATGGGCTTTCTGTGAATTCATGCCTCTGTGGGTGCCCTGCCTTCTTACAGCTTTATTTTGAGGAGTGGAAGGAAGTCACACTTGTCAGCATTTGGGTGAACTGCTCTTCTGTGCAGTCCAAATAAATACATGGCAGGGTGGTTAGCAGTAACGAGAGACACAGTGCGACTTCACAGTGCCCTCCCAGATCAGCAGAGGTTTGCATACATCGTGGCACCCTGTCTTTGGAAAGCAATGAGCGATGAAAGCTCCTGTACACAGTGCTGGTGCCTGAGGCAATGACCATGGTGCAATGCTCTGGGGAGCAGCAGAACATTGCCTAATAAAGCAGAAGATGGAGCATGGTCCCAGCAGTTATGCTCAGACATAGGCTGGGGCTGTGTTCCAGCGTATTCTCTGTCGCTTTGTATATAGGAGCTGTACACTAGAATCAGCGAGAATGAGAAAACTATAGACTCATGTTGACTAGGTACATCCTTGTCTTTATTTTTGTGGTGCTGTGGATAGAAGCTTGCACGTGTTAGGAAGGTGAGCCTTACCCCCATCCCTGTGTGTATCTTTTTTTTTTTTTAATTTTATTTTTTTATTTTTTGGTTTTTTCGAGACAGGGTTTCTCTGTGGCTTTGGAGGCTGTCCTGGAACTAGCTCTTGTAGACCAGGCTGGTCTTGAACTCACAGAGATCCACCTGCCTCTGCCTCCCGAGTGCTGGGACTAAAGGCGTGCGCCACCACTGCCCGGCCTCCCTGTGTGTATCTTAAAAACTTGATATTGAGAAACAGAATCAAGTCACATGAAAATGCACACTATGTATCTGCTCAATTAGAAGTATGCAAAAAGCAAACTCTGTGGCTGAGGGTTGTAAATAGAGGGCTGGTCAAAAGCCATGACATGGGTATAACAGAAAGTGGGTGTCTGTCTTTAGGAAGATAGTGAGCTGGCTCCAGGTCCTTGCTGTATCGCGGTTTTCCATACTGTGTGCATCTTGAGCACACACAGTCTTTCTATATTCATGTCTATGTGCACAGCTCGATGGAAAGTGGCTCTTTGAAGTTGAGTTGCTTAGTCAGACATGACTTACCCTTGCCATTCCAGGGTGGTGGGCTCTGTCTTCATCTTGATTCTGCATCTCTATCCTTTCCCTCAATTGAACTGGGGCGGTTGAAGCACACACAGATCCAAGACTCCCTATGTCCCTTTCATCATTGGGATACAGTAGCAGTGGTGGTGGGGTGCTGCAAATCCACTTCCCAACTGCACTAAGTCTTGCTACCTTTGGAATCTGGAAAATGGAAATTGCACGCTGACCAGGCAAGCAGGGTCTCTTCAGCCTCGGATGCCCAAATCCCAGGGGCATCTGGAGGACAAAGTGTTCCTCCCAATGGAACCCTGGGGACCAGGATGACCTCTGGGATCCCTCCTTCAGGCTGACAAAGCTTGTCCTCTTCAGAAAGATGTCAGACAGCCCTTTCAGGGAAAGATCTAAAACCCAGACTGAGGTGACATGTCTGGTGGGTTGCTTGCCTGAGCTTGTCACTGGGAGCAAGGTGCACAGAATGACAGTGCATGGATGAATCTCCAGCTGAGGGCTGACGGGGCCTCCCAGGACTGCTTATAGGAGAGGTGGCACAGTTAGTGGCTTTACACACAGCAAGCCTGTGGGGGCCTCTCTGAAAAAAAAAAAAAAAAAAAAAAAAAAAAAAAAAAACTGCTCAGGAAAGTCCCTGAGTGTCAGGTTACACAGAAATGTTGCCAGTCTAGGCAGCAGGAGTTTGGGGAAAATGTTTCTCTTTCCTCCTATCTGCTCTGCTCTCCAGAGATTTGCGATGTCCAGAGGTCCTCAGCAGGGAGTGAACCTGCAGTGTTTAAGCCCCATACCCAAAGCCATGCACACAGATTAGCTGGCTTTCTAAGCACGGTACATAACAACTTTCCTCTTGCTTGGCAATTCAGATTTGCAGAAACTTCTAGGGCCCCACCTCAGCAAACAAACCCATCCTAAACCATGTTTCATCAAAGAATGGCCTTTCCCACAAACTCCTTAAAATCTGAACAAGGCTTGACTTGCAGGCAGGTGAAGCCTGTGAGCCACTTCCCACTCTTTGGGTGTGTTTGAATGCACTCCCACCTTGTGATCAAATATCCAGAAAAGTCCCCCTGGGTCTGTTTTATCTTCACTGTCTCCAGAGCTGCAAGTGACATGTGGGCTTGGTGAAGAGGCGAAGGGGTACAGATTGATTTCAGGTCTCAGTGTTTGTACCATAAAACCCTCTTTCAGCACCCACACATATAGGATAGCTTGCTTGTACAAAATTCCATTAAATATTACAGTGCATTAGCAAGTGGGTTTTTTGGGGACGGGGTGGGGGAGATACTGCCTACTAGAATTTAGGACAGGCAATGTTAACAAAATTGCCTTTCCAAGGAACTCAACTGTGTGTTACCACCTTCTCCCCATGCAGGAAGGAATAGTGTCTCCTAACGACCTGGACCTGGTCATGTCAGATGGGCTGGGCATGCGGTATGCATTCATTGGACCCTTGGAGACTATGCACCTCAATGCTGAAGGTATGCCTGCGACAGAGACGGGGCTCTGCGGTGTGGAATATTTCTCCAAGCTTTCTTATCTGCCAGCCTGTGCCATTTCTTTTTCAACAGTGTGGTAATGGTAGTATCTAGAAGGACTCTGATCAACCCGAGTAACTCAGAAAGAGCCGAGGCACAAAGCATTGTGGACTGACATGGAAGTCCACATGGGGTCTGCCAAGCTCAGGGCTCTGGACCACGAGGAGTCCTTGATGGAATCAAAAAGGAAGAAAGGGGAAGTGCTATGATGGAGATCTTGATGGGCATCTTGTTGCTTGGTGGAAGAGAGGCTATAGCTTCTGTGAGGGGTTGAAATGAGTTACAGAAGCAAGAGGGAGAACAAAGACGAGATGGTAGTGCCAAGTAGCCCTCAGGGATGCTTCTGGAGTTATCATCTTCTGCCCACACTTGAGTGCCTGTGTGTGTGTTTCTGCAGAGTGCTGAGATGGCCTCCCCGAAGGCCAGGAGTCACAAGGCGGGTGCTTTACAGGAGAGGCCTGGCAAGGTGGGGCAAGCCAGAAACTGTCCAGAAGCTGACTTCAAAGGTTGGGGAAAGTCACTGTAACCTGGTAGTTCCAAAGAAAAATAACTTGAAAGAATAAGAGTGAAACAGATTTCAAAAGATCCAAAGACAACCAACTGATGAAACCAATACCAAATTAAAACACACCAATGCAGTGATATACCAAAACCTGAAAAGATGCTACCTACACATTAGCTATCTTTTGGTATTAAAATAATAGTAACTTTTTTTTTTTGTCCTGGGTGAAGTCTCACTACATAGCCCTGGCTAGCCACAGATGATTGGCTCTCCTGCTGCATGCTGGGATCATAGGCATGAGCCGTATCTGGCACAATAGAAAGTAGTGTTTATGGCTTTTTCTTTTCCTTGTTTTCTTTTGTGTTGCTGGGGATCAAACCTAGAGTCTTCTGCATGCTAGGCAAGCACTCCTCCATTGAGCCTCAAGTAATGTTATCTTTTTTATTGCTCTGTTGCTGTAAACTTATACAATTTCTGGATGTTACTTTAACAGAGTCCTCATTAAGTGGTAAAGGAAACATAGAAAGAGAAAAGGGATGTTACCTCTAGGTCAAGACTATATTTCACAAGACATATTGAGAAAAGAGGTTTCCTGGGGAGAAGGGAGGAGACAGGGCTCCACTCCAGTTCCAGCTCTCTTGATACTTACTATGTAGCCCAAGCTGGTCTCAAACATCAAGTAATCCCCCTGCCTCAGCATTCCCAGTGTTGGGATTACAAGAGTACATCACCAAACCCTGCTAGTTTTTTGAGTGGGCAGAACCAGAACAGAAAACTGGAAGTGGCAGGCAGTCTGGTTTGTGTAGTATGTGACTGATGTGACAGAAAGAACTTTCTAGTAACTGGTGGTTTGACCCGGCAGGGAGGGCTCACGCCCTGGGTGAACTAAAGGGCTGTGGGTAGATGTTGAGAGGAAATGCCTGTCCTGTGGTGGGTTGGAGCTGATGGCCTTTCAGGTCTGACTTTCTTCCTTTGATCCTATGATGATGTTTTAGTTAATGAACTGTACTTTCCAACCAACATTCAAGGCAGTTTTCCCAGACCCAGCATTAGGTAATGCAGGTGAATGTATAATTTGAGGAGTGGACCCACTTCAGAAGCCCTGCAATAATAGTGCAATAACTGAGTCTTCCTTGAAAGGCAAGCCTTGCTAAGAACAGCGGAAGGAAGAAAGGACTCTCCCATGCTTTGTGTAGGAGGGTAACTTTGAACGTGAGAAGAAAATACTGAGAAGACACCTTCATACAAGTGAAATAAGAGTTTTGAAGCATCCTCGGAATGGTCTTGGATCATTTCAGGTGTCTTTTCAGCCAGCTCTTATGAGTGGGGAGCATAGCCAAGCGTTTGAAATGGACATAGACACTGTCTGATAACCACCATATTTCTCCTTTGTTGAGAGAATTAAGACAGTTAAGGTATTGTATGAAATCGATAGGAGGGAACTGAGAACAGCCTTGAATCTCAAACAAATAGAAACAGAAGCCAGTAACACCAGACACTCAAGATCAGGGGGGTGGCAGACAGGAAGGAGGCCACAACAATTTTTCAAACAAAACTGATATGATAAGAAAGCTTAATTGGCTTAATGTGATAATAGGGGTCGGATGTAGTTTTCAACTTCTGAGCATTCCAAAGCCCAGAGCTAGAAAGTTATAAGATCTGGCTGGGAACCAATGGCCCTTATTCTTCTGGTGTCACCCAGAATATATCAAGATTGGAGTCGGGAGGATGTTTCCTGGTTTTGCTGAAGTGGTTTTCATAAATCTTGAACTTACAGGAGTTTTTGGTCTTAAAAGCTACCATTTTTTTTTCTAAAGCGAGTGCAGATATTTTAGGTTTATTTATTTATTTTTAAAGATTGAGGATAATTTGATTCGAGTTGGAGAGAGAACGCCAGGGCAGACGAGCTGTAAATGTCATCCGCTGCAGTGATGAGGGGATGAGGAGGAGGAGGACCTTGCCTTTTGAGTTTGGCAGGGAGGAGGAGGAGGACCTTGCCTTTTGAGTTCGGTTCTGGGAAAGCAGGCAGCTTCCGCAGTGGAGGCTGGAAGCAGCTGCATGGCAGAAGGTGGAAGAAGCTTCAAAGAATTAGTTCCAGGGAAAGTGTTTGCAGGCTTTGGCTAGTATCTGAAAGAAAGAAAAAAAGAAAAGAAAAGTTACAGGTTGCTGAGAAACTCAGAGAAGTGGGAAGGCCTCATGGCAGAGGTGTTTTGAGAAGCTGTCTAGGGGAAGGGAGACTTTTTAAAAAAGATTCTAATTAAATCGAAAACAGTAGGGTAGAAGTTTGCCTTCCTGTCTACTTTTTAAGAGCAGCCTTTGTGAAACATGTACTCTCAGAATAGAGGCTCTGGCCAGTAGGACAGCTAGATCCCCACCCTAGCTTTCTCATCTGTTAGCTACATAAGCTTAGATCAACCTTTTCGTTCAGTGCACCTCGGTTTTCCCATCTGTTCAGTGGGGATAACAACCACTTCCTGGGGGTAGGTGCAGTAAAGAGACTACATGGAAGCACAAGGAAACCACATGGAGGGTGAAGAAGGGCTTTGGCAGGCCCAAGTGTGGCAAACACAAGCCCGAACATGGCACCTACAGGTTTTACCTTTTACCCTCCTCCTCCTTCCTAAAAACCATTAGATTACATTCCTAAAGCTAGCCCCCAAGGTCCATTCCATTAATTTGGCCACTGACTCATTCCTGAGAATAAAACGCCAAGCTCCAGCAATCAAAATTCATTACTTAGCTAACAAGTCCAATCAGGATTTACTAGCTCACCCTAGTACAGACTCCCCATTTTTCTCCTTAAGAAACCCACTCCTGCAAAAAACAAGCAAACAAACAAAACAACAACAACAACAAAACCCACTTACTTGCTTGCTTAATAAATGGCCTTTTGCTTATTTTATCTTTGTTTGGATATTGGGGCATGGAAGCCAGAGCCTGGTGCCATGCTAGATTGAGCTACACATCCACTGCTTAAATGTTATCTCTATTCAGCTTGTTGCATTTAATTTATTTCTCTTACAGGGTTTTTGTTTGTGTTTAGTTTTCTTAATTCTCCCCCCTCCCAAGATTCACCCAGGCCTGAGGGAGACATACAGTGTAGACACAGATGAGGCCGCCTTTTGATTGCGGGGCAGAGGAAGCCCTAGAAGCAGGCCTGGTTTCTCAGCTGAGAACATGGGTCCTGCCCTGTCCCTCGCAGCTCTTTGGACTTTGTGTTTTGCAGTCTCTGTAGAGGGACAATGTCTCAGAACCTGGAAACCCCAGATCCCCCTCTGAGTGAATTGGTTGTTACTGGCTTCTTGTCTTGAAGACCCTCACCTGAGCAGGAAGCCTGCTGGAGGTGTTGTCTGTCTATGTTGAGCCATCGTGACTGGTAGGAGCAGATGAGGTAAAAGACAAGGCCTGGTGCTGGAGTGGGCCCTGCTGCCCGGACAACTCTGTCCTTAGAGGACATTCAATATTATCATTCTGTTTTCAGGCCCTTCTGACCTGTTTTCATAAAGTCTGTAAAACTCTCCTAAATCAGGAGAACCCATGTAGGTGTGGGTTTATGAACTGGGTCAAAGCTAGACCCTTTGGTCTCGGTTACAATGAGGTTCTCCAGAAAACTGAACACCCAGTGTTGGGGGCGGGTGTCCGTCAGGTATGGGTGGCCAGCCAACTATGGCGTGGAGGACTTTGTCTCACCCCATACACTCAACAGACAGGAGTGTTTTCTGTTGGTGGAGGTGTTAGGGTTCAGGAACCCCCCCCCCTTTTATCCCGAGGAACTCACACAGAGAGAACTAGGAGTCAGCAAGATAAGCTAACTCTAATTTTTTGGGAATCAACTCCTCTCTGTGCTTCCACTGTCCATACAAGCATCTCCTAAGAAATTAGGTTCATGGCCAGGGAGTTGAAAGCAGCCGTTAAGAGCCGTGGGTGCTATTCCAGAAGGTTGGAGTGTCACTCCCTATACCCATATGGAGGCCAAAATACCTAATATATGAAATAAGAATAAATAAATCTTTTCTAAAAATTAAGTTTAGCTTCTGCAGAGCCAAGCTTTCCAAGAGCTGTGGAAGAGCCATTCCTAATGGCCTCTTCCAAACTCCACATGCACCAAGCATGCACATAGTGCATATACATACATACATACATACATACATACATACATACATGCAGGCAGGCAAAAACACTCATACACATAAAATGAAAATATAAATAAACCTACAAAAAAGAGGAAGAAATGTTCCTTCGAATTTTCAGGAGTTTTATAAAAGGCAGTAGAGAAAGTTCTAGAAAGTCTCCGAGAATGGAATGGTTTCAGGATGGTGGAAGATGAACATTTGTTGAAGGAATGTAAAGTAACCCAGAGATAAAACATGGTCTGTGTATCAAATCCCTTCAGGCTGCTGCTTACATTGGCTGGGGAGATGGAGCTGGCTCTTGAGAGGGGCTTGGGCTCCATTTTCACTATAAGCTGGTTAAATATGCAGCCACAATCAATCTGGAAGGTTTGGGTCTTAAATGTCTCCCAAAGACTCTGTGCAGCATGCTTGGTGACCAGCTCATGGTGTTATTTGAGAAGCAGCATGGGATCTTTAAGAGCTGGGATCCTGAGCCATTGAGATGGTTCAGGGGTAAAGGGTTTTGCCACCAAGCCTGAGGACCTGAATTTGACTTCCAGAACCCACATAGTGGAAAGAGAGAACCAGCTCCCACAAGTTGGTCTCTGACCTACACACACATTGTCACACACACAATGTCACACACACACACACACACACACACACACACACACACACACAATAAATTTGTGTCAGGAGGGTGGGGTCTATTTAGAAACACGTTAGATCTCTGGGGGTGTGCCCTGGAATTGGGAGTCTGCCCTCTTCCTGTCTGTATCCCGGTCATCACGAGGTGAGCATCTTTTCTCCATCATGTATTCCCTACCATGAGGTTCTGCTTTCCATATGTCCAAAGCAATGGGGAAGTCCACCAGCTTGCAGCCCAGCTTAGAGGCTTGTGCACAATGAGGATAAGGCAGGTCTGGCTTCAGCACTCCCAATGGCTGTGCAAGTGGGTGATGAGCACAGTCCTGGTGCAGCGCTCACCAACTTATCCACACATGGTTATCTTAGGCATTTTGCCATTATGTTGGGAGCTGACTAACTTGAAATCAGTTAACATCTTTTAAATATATTCAATTTGGTGTCTCTAGCTCCTAACTCCAAATGAATACATTGCAGTTGTGTCTAGATTTTATCATTGTTAGTGTGAATAAATAAACAGATAGGGAAAGTGGAACAAATGCTTATTTTCTTAAGGGAAAGTCACATTTACCTAGTTTTCTGGTCTCTGGCAATCCAGAGAAGACTAAACATGGCTGGAGCTAACATATATGCGGTAAAATCTCTCTTTAAAAACCAGCCAGTGGTTAACTGCAGGTGCTAATGATAGAAATGCTGGTCGGCTTTAATAAATTTCTCAAGATGGATGTGGAAGGTGCACACCCGTAATCCCAGTATTTGGGAAGTAGAGTAGGTGGCACTGTGTTCAAAGCCAGCCTTGGCTACAAGGTGAGTTTGGGGCCATCCTGAGCTACGTGAGACCCAGTTTGAAAACACACACACACACACACACACACACACACACACACACACACACACACACACACACACCCTTCTAAACACTTGCTTTTTTTCAAAGGTTCTTTGGCCTATAGTCTTCATGGGGTAGATAAGAACAAGCTTTGGGGGCTATGAAAATTCTGCAATTTTATTTGTGTGACCCACTGCTGAGGCTTTGTGGCTCTGGAAGACTGAATATGGGCCTGAGGGCCAGCTCCATGGTAGAACTCATGTCCAGCATCACAAAAGGGAAAACAATGGGCCAGAGTCAGCACAGCCAGGACTTATAGACACGTTGGCCTCTGGGATCCCAGGCCTGGCTTCTGACTTACTCTAACCTGTGCCTACTCTTGCAGCCCCAAGGCTCAGCATATAGGGGAAGAGGAGGGAACTGAGTGTCCTGGGGCAGAAAGGTGCCCAGGCTAGACCAAGCTTGTGTTTTCCTTCGGAGCTCACCTGGGTTCCATGTCTATTTAATCTCAGTGTCAACCCACACAGCCCCGCTGCTGCTTGTACTGACTGCGTGCCTCTCTTCCTCCTCCTCCACTCATTTCTCCTCCAAAGCCCTGCAGTAGAGAAATTTACCAGCTGGGCTGGGCAGGGACAGCCTGCACACAGGGGTTCAGGCAGGCCTGACTCCAACCCTCCTTATGGAAGTGTAGCAAGTGATGAATACAACCCTGGTTCAGGTCTCACCACCTCATAAATACAAGATAAGGTATAACCTGACCTTGAGGCTTAAGTATGTGATAAGGAGGGAGTGACTTGAGTTTTGACATCTGGGGTTCATGAAGAATGAATTGAAGCCATTCATGATGATTCATGCCTGTAGTGCCAGCACTTGGGAGGCTGTGGCAAGAGGATTACCGTGAGTTTAAGGCTATTGTGGGCCACAGAGTGAGACTCTGTCTCTAAAAAGGAGGGTGGGGGGAGGAGAGGAGCCTGAAGATGTACTTATTTAGCATTCATAGAACCTTTGATTCCATCCCCAACTCCACAGCAAGCAGGAGTGGTGGCATATGCCTGTAATCCCAGCACTTGAATAGTGGACATGGGACCAGACATTCCAAGTCATCTATGTAGCCTGGGCTGTACGAGTTCTTGTATTAGAAAGAAAGAAAAGGGGTGGGAGGCAAAAAAAAAAAAAAAGGAAAATGAAGAGAAAAAATTCACTGAAGCCCAGCACACACCCTTAGCAATACATAGTTGAAGGAGCTGCTTTCTGCATGTCAGAGTGTGAGCACCACAGACCGAGGACCCCCGAGGTTCACTGACCAAGGACCCCTGAGATGCACTGGTGTGGGACACATGGCAGGCCCAAGGGGTCTAGTGCTCTTTAGGATTTTAGTTTCCAGAAAGCCAGGATAGAGACTCCTGGGGGAGGGTCCTGCTTACCAAGGCCAGCAGGTTGCTCATCTCCTGCCTCTTCTCTGTAGATTCCCCTTTCCCAGGGCAGAACCTTCTGCATAGGTCTCAGTTTAAGAGTTAGAGAATGTTGATGCTGGTGTGTGGGTTCCTGTTTTCATGCCATTGCAGGTATTGTAAGCTACTGTGACAGATACAGTGATGGAATGAAGCGTGTCCTCAAGACTTTTGGACCTGTTCCAGAGTTCTCAGGGGCCACAGTGGAGAAAGTTAACCAGGTATGTGGACTACCCAGGGGCATGCAAGCTGGCACATAATGGCCATCCCCCTCCTGTGCCATCTGTGGGCGGGGCTTTGTCAGTAGCTGCAGTCTTGACCCTTGGTTCTGATGGTTGCTTCTCCCTGAATGCCCATAGTTGCACCCTGGCCTCTAGGATACTTAGGGATAAGGTGATGGTGACCAGCAGCTCATTTTGACTTGTCTTGGGGGAATCTCTTGAGATCTGGAGCTGTGTTAACTAACTGTGGGGTTTGTGCTTCTGTGACTTTGGAAGCGGTATACACACAGCTGGCATAAACAGGAAAGACAATTACCCTCCTGGCAGATTAGTTTCTCTGCATGTGTTCTCTGTTTTTCCTTCCCTTTCCTTCTCTCAGGACATCTGTATGAAGGTTCCTGATGATCCAGAACATTTAGCTGCCAGAAGAAAATGGAGGGACGACTGTCTCATGAAACTTGCTAAACTGAAGCACCAGGTGCAGCCCCAGTAAATTTCTTGTAATGCCTCCATCACTCCTTCCTGGGAAACTCTCTTTGGCGAGATTAGAAGCTCTTGATCCAATCCCTGTGCAGCATCGAGAAGCCTAGGAAGCCGGCCTTAAGACCAGGTCTGCTCCCCGGTGTTCTGCTACGAGCAGCTGTAGATACCAAGTATCTTCAGGTCACTCCTGCCTAACCCTGCACTGGGCTATCAGGGCACTGCTTGGGCTCTGAGTTGTGGGTTTCCTGCTACCTGGGCAAACAGGCTGAAGATCTTCACTTCTTTCCAGTGTGATTACACATGCATTTCCAGGTGATAATTGCAGTTTCCTGTTATCTTAATCTACTACAAAAGAATTTTTGTAATCGTTTTCTAATCCCCCTGAGTGCCCTGTAACCCTTGCATTATGAAATAATCACCTTAAGCTTTAATGAATAATATTCTGAATAAAAATCTTGATTCCATGAGGGCAGTCAATTTCTACAAACACACACACACCCCAAACAAATAAATGTGCAAACGGTCCTCAAGTTAGTTCAGTTGTGCCTGGTAGTCTTCTGGTCAGATATGTTTAAGGAGCATGTGGGCAGCTCAGCCATGTCTGCACTAAATGAATGGTTTAGAGTTCAGCAGAAAAGACACCAGCTCTAACAGTCATTTCTAGAACCTCCTTCAACATTGCTGGCATAAGCTTCCAGAGTGCTCTGAGGACACCAAGGCATGCATCTATCCACAGTGACTCTGATCACTGGACACCATGACGCGGCTCCCCAACAGTGCTGGCAAGGCACTGGCCTTGCAGTTTTGGGTGGTGGGAGTCTTGGTGTCATGAGGTAGGGACCTGCATTTCCTCAGGGTGGAGGCAGTTGTGGTGTGGGAAGCAGTGACTTTGATTAGGTCATTTTTCTCTAGCTTGTGAGTCTTAATCAGCACATACCCCCATGTTCTCAGCCCACACTGAATGGCTGAAGATCTGCGGTTACCATGAATCAAAGTGGCCACGCAGCAGGCTCCGTGCCCCAAGACCTCATGCACATGGAGGAGCATGATAACATTGAGAGGCTTTGCGGGGGAAGCTTCAAGGAGGTGGGCTGTGAGCCTGAGTGGATCACAGGAGTCAGCTGAGGAACAGCATGGGGTCTGAACAGGCTGTGTTTAGAATGGCTTAGCCCACCGTGGCCAGGAGAGAGCTCTGCAGAGAGGTCCCAGTCAATCTGATAAGATGAGCCATTGGACCATGCTAATGGTTAGACCTCTCTCTCCCCAGCACTGGATCAGGCTTGGGTCTCACAAGTTCACTCTGACAGCAGATAGGACCAGACAGGATGTAAGCCTGCTGTGAGGGTATGAGGCTGTGGGGCAGTGGACTGGGGATGTCTGCAAGTAGGAGCTGCCAGTCATGGCTGGGAAAAGTGCTAGACATGCCTTGTGCAAGGTCAGAAAGTCAGAGAGGCCTGGCAGGAGATGTCCTGTGCTTGAAAACTTCTCTGGGAAGTTAATGTGACAAGATGGAAAGGAAGTGTTGAACCCTGAAAGGCCTCCTCCTCTTTGCCTGATAGTCCTTCAGCTCTGGTGACTCAGCCTCTCACCCTTCCTGATCTCATTGCTTCACCCAGCAGCAGGGGCTTTGCACCTCCCTGCAGCTAAGGCTCCTCCACCTTCCCTTCAAGGTCCTGCCCAGTGCTGTTGCAGTCACAGCTTTGCTTTCAGAGCTGCCTGGTCATCCCTTCCTGAGTACTGAAGGCCATGCAGTCCCCAGACCACGCCTGAAAACCCACATGAGGGTGACCTAGCTTGACATGGGGCAAAGAAGCTCCCACCGGTGATCTGCCTGGCTCTTGGCGTTGATGAACCATGAGAATCCTGGAAGGGCTGGCCATGTAGTTTGCTGGGCCTGAGACTACACAAGAGGTCCTCCCTAGGAGAGCCTGGCAGGGTACTCACTCGTTCTGGGCAGCATTGCTGTAGGATGAAAGAAGGTGGTGGCACTTGGAAACATTGGCTTTTGTTGTATATGTAAATTATGTTTTCCTACTTTCATTGTCATGTTTTCTTGGGTGAATGTCGGGAACGACTGAAAATATCTACAGGTTCAGAATCTAAGGAATTCAGACAAATGGGGATCAAAATATTTGGAAAAGGATTCTAGAAAATTCCGAAAAGCAACATGTACAATTGTTTTCCCTTACATTGTCATAGCTACCGAGTCTGACAGCCATTTCCTCAGCAGTTATATTGTATTAAGTATTATGAATCACCTAGGGGTGGTTTGTAGTATGCAGAAGGGTGTGTATGGGTTCTTGGCAAATCTGGAGCCATTTATATAGGGGACTTGAACATCTGTGAATTTTGGTACCCACAGGGATCCTGGAATCAATTATATGGCTACTTAGGAAGGACCTGAGATGGTAGCAGAAAGCTTCATGGTCTTGTAGCCAACACAATACATAATGAGAAACTGATAAAGTATACAAATGCTGACTCTCATCTAAGAGCTGGAAATAGCAATTAGTTCAATCTTGAGAACAAAGAGTTGGGAGCATACACCTAGCTTGAGGAAGGTAGTTCTGGAAGCAGCTGGCCAGAGTCAGGATTTGGTCAGACATGGAGCAGGGGAGATTGTGAGCCCAGGTTCACATGTCTGTTAGAGGAACTGTCACACCGGGAGGTCATTCTTCTTGGCTGGCTGTGGGCTGCTCTGAAAGAGCCTGATTGTTCTGATGGGTCAGTGGATGCATCCTTCTTCACAGCCTTTCCTCCAGCTGGGCTGTTGGGTCCAAAGCTGCAAAGGAGAGGACCCCACTTTGCATATCATTTCTTGCTTGCCCAGCCTCCTCTGTCTGGAGTATAGCCACCTGCCCCAGGACACTCAGTTCCCTCCTCTTCCCCTATATGCTGAGCCTTGGGGCTGCAAGAGTAGGCATAGGTTAGAGTAAGTCAGAAGCCAGGCCTGGGATCCCAGAGGCCAACGTGTCTATAAGTCCTGGCTGTGCTGACTCTGGCCCATTGTTTTCCCTTTTGTGGTGCTGGACATGAGTTCTACCATGGAGCTGGCCCTCAGGCCCATATTCAGTCTTCCAGAGCCATAAAGCCTCAGCAGTGGGTCACACAAATAAAATTGCAGAATTTTCATAGCCCCCAAAGCTTGTTCTTATCTACCCCATGAAGACTATAGGCCAAAGAACCTTTGAAAAAAAGCAAGTGTTTAGAAGGGTGTGTGTGTGAGTGTGACTGTGTGTGTGCTCGCATGTAGCCTTGACATTTCTGAAGGATCCCAGTCTCTGTTTATCTGATGTTTCCTCAGGAGCAGGCTGAGATCTGGTTTGGGATTAGACCAAGTGTTCCCCTTGTCACGTCATCACAGGGGTCTGTAATGACCACGTATTACTGCTGGGCCTTCACTGATGGATTTTTCCATTCCAAATTACTATTTTTTTTTAAATTAGGGAGTTAATTAGAAGGACCTGCCCAATAAGACATCATCCTGACCAGTTTCTGAATCATTTTCCTGGGGTTGCAAAGTCATAAATCTCCATCAGCATGATGAATGTCCTCAATTCCTCATTTTCTGCTCCCTGAGCCCAGCATCTTTCCTAAGGCACACACAGTGTCATGTGTGCGACTCCACGTGATTGCCCTGCTGGGGATGCTCACTCAGCTCTTACCTGAGGATCAAAAGATTACTACAACTGTTTTGAGACTGGGTCTTACATAGCCTAAGCTGACCTTAAACTCTGGATCCTCCTGCCTCAGCCTCCAGGAACATCGATTATAGGTGTGATCACTATGGCCTGCTTTTCTGTTTCCTCTCTAAGAGCCACATGTTTGTAATCCCAGCACCAAGACAGGAGGATCACGGAGCTGAGAGAACAACTCTGTTAAATGAGTGTCAAGGACCTTGAAGACTCCCTCTGTATGCTCAGACAGGCTCAGGCAGCCTACTGTAAGTGGGAGCAGCCCTCCTGTGTTGGCTGTGAGGGGCACGAGGCACGCCTTTGCTGGGCATGGTGGGCACAGCTGGAGCCACACCCACCCCCTCCACAGGATGTCAGGGCTCCATCTGCACAGGACAAGTGTAGCCCATATGGAATGGTGCTTTTCTCAAGAGATAAAAACTGGTAACACTAGAACTTCTTGGGAAAAGGGGAATTTTCCAGAAAAAGGAGAGCTGGGTCAATCTCTAGAGAACTGTGAGACCTTGATCTGTCAATTGAGAGAGAATAGCAGGCTGTTAGTTCACACATGGAGATTTTCATAAAAAAACAAAACAACAACAACAACAACAAAACACCTGGGAGAAAGGGCCTTAAAACTGCTTATTTCTAATTGTGTGTGTGTGTGTGTGTGTGTGTGTGTGTGTGTGTGTGTGTGTGTGTTTTGTTATGCTCTTTCACGACAAGCATACATTTTTATATTAAAAACCTGGGTGCTGTTAGCATTGTGTCCTCTGCTCTGACTTCTGATCACTCACCAAGACCGGAGTTTGAAGGACAGAGCCTCCAGCACCCTCCCCTGGCTTGCTTCACTTGTAGATAGACCTCAGTGCTTATAAACTAATGAAACCATGTGCAGATGGAGCCAGCTCTATGCAGGGGAGAGCCCAGGCTCTTGACATACAGTAGATGTTCTAAGTGCAGAGTGCTGGGGTCCCACCCAAGAGCTTACTAACATTTGCTAACTCACCACTACCATCTCAATACCATTGCAAACACCACCATCCCTGTCATCATCACTTCTGCTAGCACCTCTAGCACAGTCTAAGTACCACCACCACCACCATCCTCACCATCGCTGCCGCCATCTCCATTACCATCTCAGTATCTTTTTAGCACCATCATCACCATTTACTCTAGCTCCTTCAGGAAGCTTATTGTGGTCCAGTGTTTCATAGCAGCATCCTTCAGATGGAACAGGATGGTGCAGGTGGAGAGGGGAGTCCAATCAGGAAGAAAACAAGCTTTAATGCCCGGGAAAGATGACGTTTACAGGCCCTTCTCCAAGGTCATGGAAGCAGTAAGCAAGGGCCCAGCTGCGGAGAGATTCTTGGGCCTGTTGAGCTGCCTGCAGGTCACGCAGAAAAATCCAGGCATGCAGTTTTCAGCAGACACCACCCATGTTGGGTGGGCCTTTGGGTGATGCAGCTGCTGTTGAGTCATCCTTGCTCCTGTAAGGAACCCCTCACCCTTTCTCCTGCTAGTGACTACAACTAAAACTCTGGGTTCACCAGGTTGAGCTTTGGTGCAGTCATTGCTTTGGTCTGAAGTGGGCTCCCTTTCTGGGGTAAATAGACACGTGTGTTGCAATTCCTCCAGGAAAAGTCTTTCACATGCCACTGAGGGAAATAGTAAACAAAGATAAATGACTCAATAAACAAAATACTGAGTACAATGCTTGTGGACCCGGGTAGGGTAGGCAGTTGCTGAAGGTCTGCTCCATGCTGGAGTGCTGGCAGACCTCTCTGGGA